GGAAGTGTAATGGCAGATCCTTTGGCGCATCAAGATGTAGATGACTACCAATCTATAAACTTTGGATTCTATGATAAGAACATCATGCTAATTACAGATTATGAAGATCGTGGACCGTATGAAGGACTTGAGACAATATCCCGATGGACTATGGTTTTTGACGGAGCTTCCAACATGTTTGGTAATGGAATAGGTGCTATAGTCATATCCCCTAAAGTTTTTCATACGCCCTTCACTGCCAGATTTTGCTTTGATTGCACCAATAATATGGTTGAATATGAAGCGTGTATCATGGGTATTAAAGCTGCTATTGACATGAGAATTAATTCCTGAGCGTATATGGGGATTTAGCCTTGGTAATCAATCAGGTCAAAGGAGAATGGGATACGAAGCATCTGAATCTTATCCCTTACCGAGAACATGTGATAACCTTGATTCTTTACTTCGAAGATATTAATTTTGAGCATATCCCAAGAGAAGAGAAACAGTTGGCAGACACATTAGCTACCATTTCATCCATGATCAAGGTCAGATAGGACAATGAGGCTCCCATAATATCCATTGAACGATTTGACTAACCGACACATTGCTACGAAATTGATACTGATAGAGTAGAATAAAAACCTTGGTTTCATTAAGTGAAAAGGTATCTTGAAGCTCAAGAATACCATGGCAAGAAATTCCTACGGAGGTTCTCAGCTAAGTTCTTCTTGAGCAATGGAATTTTGTACAAGCGTAACCATGATTCAACACTGCTTCGTTGTGTATACAAGCAGGAAGCAGAGAAAATTATGGAGGATATGCATGAAGGCATCTTTGGTATTCATTGCAATGGGCATACTATGGCTAAGAAGATTTTGAGAGAGGTTTACTATTGGTCGACTATGGAAACTGAATGTCACCACCATTTGGGAACATGCCATAAGTGTCAGATCTATGCTAATAAAGTTCATGTGCCCCCAGTTCTTTTGAATGTTTTAACTACTCCTTGGCCATTCGCAATGTGGGGCATTGATATGATCAAAGAAATTAAGCCTACTGCTTCTAACGGACATCGCTTCATTCTTTTCACCATTGACTACTTCACAAAATGGGTTGAAGCAGTCTCGTTCGCCTCTGTTACCAAGAATGTGGTCGCCCGGTTCATAAAACATAACCATATATGCGGGTATAGCATCCCTGAGAGAATCATCACAGACAATGGTACAAATCTCAACCACACTATGATCACTGAACTCTGCATGCAGTTCAAGATCAAGCACCACAACTCTTCTCAGTATTGACCAAAGATGAATGGCGCACTGGAAGCCGCCAACAAGAATATTAAGAAGATCATACAGAAGATGGTTGTGACTTACAAAGACTGGCACTGTATATTACCATTTTCTCTTTATGGCTATCACACTTCAACGCGAACATCAACTGGGGCAACCTGATTCTCTCTGGTCTATGGTATGGAAGTTGTCCTACTTGTCGAAGTTCATATTCCTTCTCTAATGATTATAAAAGATGCAGACTTAGATGAGACAATTGTATTCAAACAAGGCTAGAGCAGTTGAATCTGATTGACGAAAAGAGGCTTGTGGCTTTCTGTCACAACCAGATGTATTAGAAACATATGATCAAGGCATTCAACAAGAGAATCAAGCATCGGGTATATCAGGCTGCTGACTTGGTAATAAAGCGCATCATTCTATCGCAAGGTGATCTGATGGGCAAATAGACTCCCAACTACAAAGGGCCATTTGTTTTCAATAAAGTATTTTCGGGCGGTGCTATGATACTAACCACCATGGATGGTGAAGATTTTCCGCATCCTATGAACGTGGACATAGTTAAAAAATACTACGCCTAAAAACGACCCGCTAGGTTGACTGGCCTAGGCAAAAGTAAGGGCATATCGATGAACCAAAAGGGCTCGGACAAAAATTAGGGATATATATAAAAGATTGTACACCTGGAAAATCAAAAACCTGAAAAGGCGATTTGGGCAAAAAAGGGTATCCTGGTGGACTAAAACCCCGAAAGGGCGGTTAAAACAAAAGTTAGAGATTAAATGCGTACGACTATGTCCCATTGGATCACTTACAACAAGATTTATTGCCAAAGTTAAAAGTTCAAATAGTACAGAACAATTTGATTAACTTCTTCCGACAACAAGGGATGAGATGTTCGAAGACATATGGACAATAGCGGAGTTGGAACCCAACGAGATCATTTCCACATAGCTATATGTTTTGTTTTCACTTTGTACTCTTTTCATTTCATGGAAATTTCCTCTTACTAGGATTTATGTCTCTTTGTACAAAATAACTTGTTATAGGCAAACTATCAATACAAATACACCATAAAATTCAAACTTTTTGTTTTTAATTTTTCTGTTTTGTTTGCAAAAACATGCAAGGACTAAAATTGAATGAACATATGCATATGAACATGATTAACTGTTAACAAATATATGAATAAGAATAGGAATAAGCATTTACTCAAGACTCTAGGAGTTGGGATAACGTCCAATCCGTCCATAAAATCCCCATAGAGCCACTTCCATGAGATTATCCCCACAGAGTAATCTTGACAAATTCATCTTCAATGAAGATACATTCCCCACAATTTCCCCAGAAGATCGTCCGATGGATAAAATAATATGATCTTTTCCAAGCAAAATCAACCACCTACAGAGTTCCAATCAGTATAATTCACAAAAGTTCTCTTCCCCAGCTGAGTTTATTCTTCCGAAACTGTAAAACACCCTGCAAATTTCTTCTCTCCAGCACAACTCATTTCCTCACCAAGGGTGTTTCCTCAGCAATGTATTTATTCCCCAAATAGGGTTTATTTCCCCAACAAATTACAGTCTCCCCAACTTAAGTCTATTCCTCAGATGGCTACGAATCACTGAAAAAATTCCTTTCCCCAATGATTTCCCCACTATCCCTAGAGAGTTACTACGAAACCTAGAACCAGACCAGATATCCGCCAAATTTATCCTCCCCAGACGAGTCAGAAGGTTATCCATCTCTTTTATCCCCCGTCAGGGTATATAAGAATTAAACTCCCCAGACGAGTCGGAAGGTTATCCACCTCTTTTATCCCCAGTTAGGTTATATAAGAATTAAACTCCCCAGACGAGGCCGAAGGTTATCCATCTCTTTCTTCCCCAGTCAGGGTATGTAAGAATTAAACTCCCCAGACGAGGCCGAAGGTTATCCATCTCTTTCTTCCCCAGTCAGGGTATGTAAGAATTAAACTCCCTAGTAGAGCGATGAACGACTAATGTTCCTAAACTCTTCTCCCCAAACAGAAGTCAACATTCCCCAACAGAGTTTCCACAAACAGCAAGCAGTAATCCCCAACGGAAGCATTCTAGGAAAGGTTGAAGGTTACATATGTTCTTCATCCCCAACACCAGTCAGGGATTCATTTTCCCCAGCAAGATGTCATACGAAATTGTCGATACTTTTCCAACAACATTTCAAATTCATACATCATTTATCAATATCATAGCATATGCATACCGAACACATATATCACAGTCTCATTTATTTTGAGAACATCATTACGCAATACATTTCATACATCATGACATTGCATATTATAGCGATGAAAAATGTAGCGGGGTAAATCGAAGATCGAGCTATTAATTAACTCGACTCACAAAAGCAAGAGTCGCCACCGCGCTTTATTATTTCCAAGCGAAAAGGGAAAAGAGCGAAATAAAACCCTAAAATATGCAATGTAAAATAATATTTGAAAGTAATGAAAATACAATGCGTTTTTTGAAAAGAGATCTAGAGTTCGGGGGTTGGTTATAATGGGAAGGTATTAGCACCCAATGCATCTATTGTATCTTATAGGAACATTTTGAAATATCTGTTTATTAAAATTGTTTGTTTGATTAAAATGGTTTGTTTGGCTAAAGATGGGTGTGGACGAGATTTTGAAGATACGACGACCTAATGTCGAAGTTTTGACTTAAAAAGGCGTGAGTTTAAAAATTGAATCTTTTAGGAAAAATTTCTTAGGTTTAACAAAATAATAAACAAACAAAAGATGAATGAGGGTATTCGCACGATTGGATGAGACGTGTTTGATGACGTGAAGTCAATGAACTAGTTATTTCCCTTGGAATAGACACAAACAAATAAAAATAAGATGAATATCACAATATAAGTAATTGAGAATCCGCAAGAAAATAAATCTAAACGAACAAATTAATAACAACAAGGGCAGTGAGATATTTAATTCAAAAGGACTAAGACAATTAGATACGAATGAAAGAGAATATAATTAATTATTTAAAGAAGATATATAAATTACTAAATTAATTCTAAACAAAAATTAAAAAAAAACTAAGATTATACAAATTCTAAAAATTTGCTAAATTAAATCTAACTCTAACAATTACTAAATTATATCTACACTACTCTATATATAAACTAAATTAATTATAAAATTTTTAAATTACATCTAAACTAATTTATTCTAAGATTATTAATTTAAAATTAAACTAAATTATTTGATAAAAGAAGATGTGAGACAAGGAAATGGGGGGGGGGGGGGGGGGGGGGGGTGAGAGTGACAATTTCGAATTGGCCTGGTGAGCATGGCCCTATGTGGAAACTGAAACAAAAACAACAAACATATAGGGTTGGATGGATCAGGGGTCCGAACCCATTCACCCTTATTTAGTAAAATGGGTTAAAGAACCCTAATGCCCCAAAACGACTCCCTTCAATTCACGAAGGAGAAAACGACTCTCTTCCTCTCTCTTTGTTTCAATCTTCCTCTATTCTCCAAGTATTCTAAATCCTGATGATAAAGGAAGAGGTTCCAATTTTCATCGATCCAACTAAGGCTTCGAGGTTTGTTGAAGCATATGAAACGGCGGATTGATTGGTGTTGTGAGCATTGAGCATTGTCGTTGTGGGTTTCAGTTGTGTAAGGTTGATGGTGTACGGTAATGAAAGTCTGAATTAAATTTGCATAAGATTAAAAAAATGGTGCGATCGAAGATGGTGATGGGTATGCAGAGTACTTGAATTGAGTAGTGACTTTTCATAGGTGAGTGAAGTTTATTCAGTGAGAAGTTTAAGGGAGTTTGGATGGGTTGAGTGTTAGTTATGTGGTTGAAAAAGGAGCACAAGAGATGGAGTTTGTCGGAACTATGAGAATAGCAAAAACAAATGGAGTTTGGGCGGTGGGTAGTAGGATGAGTTGATTGAAGAATGGTGAGTCCGTGATATGGAAACGAGATAAGTGTGAGGAGAACTTGAGAACTTTATGGTGATTTTTCTGTCTATCTATGATGTCAGGTGTGTATTTTTTTGTTTTTTTTCTTCCGAGTTTTTTGAATTCATCTTCAGCCACTTTTCTAGAAAAGAACTTAAACATTAGAGTGTTTCCTTATGTCTTGACTTAAATATCGTTTATACACTTAGGTCCATCAAGTAATGGCTTACCCATGGAAGGTGTTACATGGTACCACACCAAATCAGATTCTTCATACGACTTCATCACAATCTTAAAACTGGAAGCCCTGCTTAGCCAAGTATCAGTTGAATTGTTGTCTCCCAAAATAACAAGCTTCTTGTCATGAAGCCACTGAAAAGCTGAAGAGGAAGAGGGATGGAGGTAAGTTGTTGTTTAGCCGGTGACCGAATGGTATTCCAGTGGGCTGCTACTGGGAAATGGACGGGATTGGGAGAAGAAGAAGGGCGGACGATGATGGTCTGTGGTAGAAGGATAGAGCAGAAGATGAATAGTAGTCGCGGATGTTGGTTTCCGGTTGGAGAAGACAACGGGTTGGATGTACTGTTACGGTTGTTGTGAAGACAGTGACGAACAAAAATGGTGGTGATGGAGAACTGGAAAAGAAGCAGGAGGTTGGTGTACTTCCAAAAATGAAATTTGAAGGTATATACTTTTCTGAATTCTGTCATTTACTATACATTTCTTTCGGTGTTTATTATTATTATTATCATCCCTAAACATGTTTAAATGTCCACATATTGCAGCAAACAAAATACAACAAAAAGGTATGATAAGCAAGCATTCACATGGCATAAAAGTGGTGTAAAGAGAAGATTCAAACATATGAATGAGGAAGTTATGCAGAAGAAAATAGGGGGGAAGAAAATGCCTATCGGAGCCTCTCCGATGGGGCTTCAAAACATTAAGTTTTTCTCCTTGAATTTCTATATTTTTCTTGTTGAGTTTGTGTTACTTGCTGAATTTTCTATGTGTGATTCTTGGACAAAACTCTCTCCTTTTTTTGTTGATAGAGGCCCTTATTTATAGTGAAATATATGGGGTTTTAGGGGGGGAAAATAGTCGAGATTTGAACTATTTTAGGCCCTGTTTTGATGTTTTATGATACAGCTTTTTGAAGTATACATTTTAGTGCAATATTTGAAGTTTTGTAGACTGTTTTTGTAGCAGCAAAACTATAGATTTTTGTCTTATGGGCTACATTATGGAAATTTGCAGGGCAGATTAGGACAACAACTTGGCATGGTCTTTGTTGAAACAAGGTTGGAGAAAATGGACAGCATTACACTCAAGAATTGGACTGTTATTGGATTAAAATAGTGATGGAAAAATGGGCAGCATTGGGACTGTTTTGTAGCAAGAATAATAGCTTGATTTTAATGTACAAAATTTGTATTTCTTTTGTAACTTTGTAAAAATAAATCCAAGTAAATTGTAACATGAATGAACATGTATTCTTCAATATATTCACAATTCCCTTGTAATTATAAATAACTTTGAATCTTCATATGAAATTGAATCTTGATATATCTTGATAAAAATTCAAGGTCTTCCATTTGAATTGGGAAAGAATTAAATAATACTTGAATAAATTGTTGAATGATGGATAAATAATAATGCAAGTCTTAGACTTTAATCTTGTATTTTGTAGTGGAGATCCAAATAAATTACATGAATTGATTTTGTAATCAAATAACAATCCTCATGTAATTAATCTTGTGATGAACGATTACTTGAATTGAATTCCTTTTTCTAATATCTCCTTAATAAATGTTTCATGTGTGTTCAAATAACCGTAAAGTAAATCCACCAAAATAACCACACAAAATAATATTGAATAAATATTTCACGCGATAAATGATTATATTTGAATGAGATCTCCTGGTAGCTCCTCTTTAAGTATCACCTGACTTCAAATAAAGAAAATTCCAAGCATTCCGAATAAATTCTTCTAGAACGGTTTTGAATTTAATCATCCCATTTTGACGAAATTCACCCCGCGTCATGAGAAAATTTGCAGATGACTTTTGGTCGAAGTGATCGAAAATGACTGACAAAGCTTGGTTTTCTTGTATTTTAAAATAATGTGAAACACAAATGAACCAAAGATAGTAAAACTTCGACTGTTCTTTCTGAAAAATATTCAGAGAAGCTGCAGACCATCTGTTGGACAGAGTGTGGAAATAAACACACAATTCTCTGAAATTCTTTGATAAACCAACCTTTGAGAATCAACGATTGGCCGCATTTCTGTCCTGAGACTCGAAACCCTAATTGATGTGTGACGTCCAACGCTCTTCTTTCAGATCTATTTCCTGCACATGAAATCAAAAACAACAAAACATACACTTCGTGCTTGATTAGTGGTTAGTCATTCATAAGATAAAAATGCTCACAACGCTCGATAGTCTCTACACAGTCAAAGCTCAAAGGTGAAACGTTCGAAACCTACCATATTTTGTGACTTTGATGTATATATAAAACAATGCAAATGAAGCAGGGATCTTAGGTCAAAAATTGGGGTATGACACATACAAATAACTCTTACCTTTTCAGGAAAGATCAATCAATAGACAAACGTCATCAACTACTTATATGACCCGATAATCTTCTTAAAGGTTACATCTGACAAAGGGCTATTTAAGAAAATTCCTTAGAGGGTCATTCCCAAAAAGACATCTTTTGGCTCAGATTAAATCAAGCGTAGATTTATTCTAATACTTCTTCCAATAGACATTTTATAGCTCAGGTTAAATCGACTATTGATTTATCATGATACTTCTCCCAGTTAAAGACGGAGGCAGACATCTTCTGGCTTAGATTAAATCGAACATAGATTTATTCTGATACTTCTTCCAGTAGAAATTTTATGGCTCATATTAAATCGACCATAGATTTATTCTGATACTTCTCCTAGTTAAAGAAAGACGCAAACATCTTTTGGCTCAGATTAAATTGACCATAGATTTATTCTGATATTTCTTCCAATAGATATTTTCTGGCTCAGATTAAATCAACCATATGTTTATTCTGATACTTCTCCCAGTTAAAGACGGATGCAGCCATCTTCTGGTTCAGATTAAATTGACCATAGATTAATTCTGACACTTCTTTTAGTAGACATTTTCTGGCTCAGATTAAATCAACCATAGATTTATTATGATACTTCTTCCAATTAAAGATAGGCGTATACATCTTCTGGCTCAGATTAAATCAAGCGTAGATTTATTCTGATACTTCTTCCAGTAGAAATTTTCTAGCTCAAATTAAATCGACCATAGAATTATTATGATACTTCTTCTAGTAGACATTTTCTGGCCCAGATTAAATCAAACATAGATTTATTCTGATACTTCTCCCAGTTGAAGTCGAGCGTAGACTTAGTCTAATTTATATCAACAATTACTTTGGATGGCATCTATAAGACCATCACCAATGACTCATCATTACCTCTCCAAATGGTATCTTTAAGCCCATTCCTAGTATAATCAATCAACAGAGTTACTTCGTGCACCGACGAGTGCAAATTTATGGGCATTTGTTGTACCCCAACTTTTGCCCTAAGATTCCACTATCATATCATATCAACTCGATCATAACAAGATCACATTAGGGTTGGTTCTTCCTCTTTTTTCCTATCTTTAAGTTTTCTCTTGAGGAATCTCCAAGCACCTTGGTTGTGTATTTTGTATATGTGTTGTTGACTAACTTCTAATCAAAATACAAAAAATATTTGTCTTTGTCTTTGTATATTTTTGTTTTGTAGGTACCAAGTCGAAGCATCTGACAAATAAGGTTTTCTGGTATTATTTTCCTAAAATCTCTATTTTGCAAAGAAAAAGAATTAAAAATTTTCATTTTTTCACTGATGCAATCGATTGCTCTTAAAGTGCAATCGATTGCACATAGTGTATTTTGCGCCATTTTTGAAAAAAATACACTGTGCAATCGATTTGCACTGTAGTGCAATCGATTGCACAACGTGAAAATTAAAAAAATTAGCATTTTAAACTTGTCAAATTTTGGCTCCAATTTTCCTTCACTTTTGAAATATGTATCATTAATTCAAATTTTGGCTCTGATATTTGAAAGAATTATCATTAATTCAAATTTTGGCTCTAATTTTTGAAAGAGTTATCATTAATTCAAATTTTGGCTCCAAGAATCAATTACCAAATTACCACTAATCCCAATCCTAAAACTCTATAAATAGAGCTCTCATTTCATTCAAATTTCAAGCTTTTGATAGCCAAATCCACCTTGCTAAAAAATCTCTCAATTCTCTCCATCTACCAAATTCACTCAAAGCTCCATTTTCAAAAAGTTAGTAAGCTTTGCATTGAAGCTTACTAATCTTTGAGCTAAACCTTCATCCAAACACTTTTTCTCCATTAATTCTCTACATCCAAGGTTGGTCAATTGATTCTTGTGGTTGAATTGAAGCAAATTCTTGAAGTTGTTTTGATGGAATTTTCATGCTCAATTGGATCCATAATCATAAGGTGTTTGATGGAAAGTTTGAACAAGAAATTGGCCTTTTAAAATGTTGTTTTTGCTACTGTAACAGTGTGCAATCGATTGCAACAACTGTGCAATCGATTGCACAGAAGCAATTTTGCACAATTTTTTGAAAATTGTACTGTGTAAATCGATTTACACAATAGTGCAATCGATTTTCATAGGGACAGAATGCATTTTTTTGCCTTGTTTTGGGGCAGCTTTGATCCAAAATGATTTTTCTACTCACTCCTTTTGATTGTTGGTTTGGATTGCAATTTTAAATGTTCAATTTGTCTTTAAACTCAATGGACTTTGTGATGTAGATGAAGTTGGATAAATTTTCATCAATTCAAATCTACCTAAGAGTGAATTATTTAATTCATTTTTGGTGCTTTGGATTAATGATATGTTTAGTGCTTTAATCCATCTAGAGGAGTGGTTTAATTTAAAGATGAAAGAATTTTGAAATGGTGATCCAAATTAGCTTATCATTTCCCTCCCTCTTCATCTTATCCCTTTCTTTTTTTAATTGTGCTACATGTTAAGGGATGGTGATCTCTATATCATTTATCCAAACATTAAGTACATAGATTGATATTGACCGACCTCAAAATAGGTGGGACTTCTACATAAGTCCACTTACGATTGCTTAACATAGCGCTAAATTTTGTCCCGATTTGAATAAATGATCATTCGTGGCCCAAACTTATGATTGCAAGCCCAAGTATGTTAATTTGATCTCTTTGATCCAATAACCTTGAGATTCACTGTGTGGAGGCTTTGGTTCTACCAATCCTCTAATGGATCTACAACACCTTTGGTCAACGCGGATCACTTAAACATTGTTGATCATTACATGTTGCCTTGTGAGAATTCCAAAATGGATGATATACTTGACAAAAATCAAATGCAACTTGTTGTGTGGAGGCTTTGGTTCTACCAATCCTCTAATGAGTTCCAAATGCAAGTTTCAAGATGGTCATCCAACTAACCACTAATTACAAACAATTAACTTTACTTTACTCTTTTATTTTCATGCTTTATGTACCATTTACTTTTAG